TGTTTATAGATATGGTTCTATATATGGTTCTCTAGAGTGTGTTACTGATAGCCACCAATAAATGTGTGAGGCTTTCACTTTGAGACCAATCAGGTCTTAGGTCCAGCATTGTTTCTATAAGAACTGTAGATTTCTAATAATAAAGTGTCTTTCATGCCTTCTTGTGAAAAATGTGTCTCTTATGATTGGTTTTTTGCAAATATTAAAATGAATATTATATGTGTTAGAAAGTTATGCTGTATTAATTCTATTAAGTAGTGCGTTAAATATAGTTCTAGGTTACAGAAAATGTTAAAATAGAAACTATGCTATGTAGGATACTTTTTTTTTGTAAAGAAAGGACCCACAGTGAGATAGCAGCCACAGGACAACTAAATCTTTCAGAGAAAGAGAATTTATTGCTCCATTATCAGAAGAAATGAACTTCTTCCTGCCTCGAGGGTGCTGTCAGGATTCAGAGGAAGAAGCTGACACTGACCAGACAGAATCCTGTGTTTGAATGGAATTTATGCATCATGTATGAGGTGTATGAATATGCAACAGGCTGTTGTTTTTAAGGGTTAATCCTCTGTTAAGGTGGGTCCTTTTTTGGGTTTGTGCTGCCCAGAAAAGGGACCCAGACTGCCCATAACTCTTTGTCTCTATTGTCTCATATTGTCCTAATTCAAATTGTCCAAATTGTCATTACTTTAATCATATTACTATTTTTATAACCATTCTATTACTAGTAAACTTTTAAAATTTTAAAAACAACCGACTGGCGTTTTTCACACTTCTGGATCACGAAGTCAATGCTCATTATTACCTGGCTGGGGGCCTGCTACCACAGAAACGGGCTTGAAACTGCCCCAAATCAGGGATGGGATGTATCCATACAGGGATTCGTGGCATGGAATTGTTTGTAAGCACAACAACCGGGTTTATCTGGGAGTTTCCCTCTCTGCAGCACTCACCGTCCTTTTTCCGGTAGGCCGGGAAGGGCTCGGAGGGCAGCTGGGCAGATTTCCTCCACCGGCTCAGCAGCTCTTCCACAAACCAGCTCTTCTTCCCGTCCGTGCCCTGAACAAGGTCCACAACGTACTCCCGGATCTCCTCCTCGTTCGTGATGGACAAGATGTACCTAAAACGGGCCGGGGTGGATAAACATGGGTGAGGGAGAGGATGGTCCGCGCTCTCATGGCACAGGTGGGACATTTATCTTTCCTTTTCCATCAGGTCTCTGTGGTAAGGCCATGGCAGGAGGTGGAACGATGTCACCTTTAAGATCCCTCCCGACTAAGAGCAATTTGGGATTCTGTCACCTCACATCCCACCTCCCGCCACCTCTCCCCGAATCTCCACCCGAGCCACAATCGCGGGCAAACTCCCGGCAGCTGCTCTGGCACACCGTGTTTCCTCCGAGGAGCCCCTCTCAGAGGGAAGGAGGGCCCCGTCCGACCCC